GAAATGTTGTTTTATTTTATTTTTTTTTTGTTTCGTGGGAAAATGACAAAATGGGAGATGAATGTGTTAGCCTAATAGTTGTTGGGATATGCGTGTTGGCAAGGACACTTTGAATTACGAAACACACTCATGCATTACAAACATACCCAACTACACACAAACCGACGCTGGCAGTACACTGCCACTGACACATGCCACACACTCACACTCACATACACACACACAAACATATTTCTCGAATACATGCACACATATGTATGTAGATTGGAAGTCAGCCGTAATGTCATTTGTGTGCGTTCTGATTATATCTTAATGAATGTTATGAAACACATAAATCAAATTGCGAAACCGCCGCAGGACAAAGGCCCAACCGAGCGACGAGTAGTACGACAAGAGCCGAGCTTAGTGCCCTCGTTATTTCCGCCCAAATAGTTCCCAGTTGGGTCTCTACGTATGCATATCAAATGTACAAGTACACCCAAGCAATAGTAATTGTTTAGTGGTATGCTCCATTTTTCTTCATGAAACAATATTCACTTAATGATCAGTTTATTGATTTGGTTATGGAAAAAAAAACTTTAGCGCATATATTGTTTTGCTAGAATTTCTTGGTGATAATTTAAAAAGTTATTGAATTTCCTGAGCAATCATCAGAAATAGTGTCTCTTCTATTAGTTTTATTTTAATTTAATTTAAATCAATTAACAATTGATACAAATTGCAATATTTAAATAACAAACAAGTTCTAATATAATATTAACTAACAATTTCAACTTAAAAGGAAGTCAAGAAAGTCGACCTAAGAGAGCAGGGGAGTCTACCTCACCAATAACCAGATTGTGAAGAAAAACTACTCTAAGTACAGTCCTATGAATTGATAATAAAGGAAGGCTTATAAGCAGCAAGCAAAGGTTGGAATCCCAGCTAAAGCCATGTAGAGCAAATGGGAAGAATTGCTTCTATACTGTAGACACTAATCGCATGAACATTATTCAAGCACAGGGTGTACAAATGTGTAGGGAGAAGATTAGAAGTTATTTTTACAAAAAATGCTTATTGTTATAGGAATGTGTTAAACGCAAATATTAATTCAGCTTTAAAAGCTGCTTAAAACGGAACACGTCATTCAAAAAGTCAATTTAGTTCAACATTTAAAAGAAATTAAATAAATTTTTAATTTTTATTATTATTATTTTTTTAAATATCCCTTTATTGATTCCACTTCCATAAGATTTGGGGATTTCATTCTAAACCAGCTCGGCTTAAATCACTGTGGCTTCTGCGCAAGATATATCCAATCCATATCCATCGCCGTCAACTGGTTCTTGATTCGCCAATTGCCATAGCGACGTGTTGTAGGGCCAACAGAATTTACAAATATTTATCAGACACTTGCTATTGAATGTCTGGATTTTGTTCAGATCGTTTGCATTTAGTCGCCACTTTCCGCCTCCATACAGTAGAGTGGTTTTTAAATTCTCATTTTAGTTTTCTTTCCTTTTAATAAACATCTAAACATCTAAACAAAAAGCAACTCAAAGATTTTCTTATAACAGTTTTGTGACGAAAGATAAGCAAAACGTCAGCTCAAAGATAATTGCTAGTTACTAGTTCGATAGAAAAGATCATGGAATTACTTAACGTGAGTTTTGTGCTGAACGGAATTCAATTCGCTCACAAAATAGATTTCAGATTTAATTTTTCTGTCGTATTAAAAACTAGCTGTCCGGTGGTACATGTTCCCATAAAAGCACTTAATTTCTAACGTACACAATGCTTCTGATGCAACAAACACAAACCATTCGTTTGTCACGTAACGAATTTGCGTTGAAATAATGCTTTTATGATTAAGGGAGATAAGCTTTAAAGAAAATCAGATTGAAACTTGTTCCGTCCGGACTGAAAAAGCATATCTGTTGGGTGTGTGTATGTGTGTGTGTGTGGAAATCACAATCCGCAAAGTCCTACTGGGCTATTGCATAATCTACACATACTACACAAACTTCTACACACGCACATAACGTCCTAGTCCTCTGACACGTTGACGAATGCAAATCATAATAATAAAAAAAAAAAAAAAATAGAGAGGGGAAAACCGCAAGCACAACGATGTTTCATTGAAAGCTTGAATGTGTGTCTGGAAAATGTTTCGTTTGCACTTAATGGCTTCATGCCTCCAAATTGAATAACCAACTCGACCCTAAGATGGGGCAGAGGAGGACACAGCCGTGTAAGGCCACTGCGAGATAATCTAATAGTTGTCCGAGCATAATATCAGGCCGAACAATGGCTCTTAGCACAGCAGAAGCTCTGCCACGAACAACAAGCAAATATTTATTATACATAAGTACAATAAAGATAGCATTGTCGTCAAAATGTCGTAGAAGTTGTTTGCATCTGAAAGACATTCAATTCGCAACTTTTTGTTGGCATTATCTAAAGAGTATAACTTTAATTTTTGCAGCGTTTCCCCCACCACAAGAATGGGCCCAACAATAGCGCATATCGATTGCAGTTTTATGCAATTATTGGCTTATGGAATGGAAATGGGTAAGCAACAACTTAATGTAATACTCAATTGTGTAGCTAGATATATTTATAAGTTTGTATCATTAAAAAAAAAACTGATCATATTACAAGATATTTATAATCTAGAGCTCCTATCATATTACACACACTTGATTAAAAAGCTGTCATTCACTGCTTCTAAAACAACCAACAATGTCTTGAGCAACAGACAATGATTATCAGCTCCTAAAAGACAGTGATATGCATAAGCTGTTTGCCTATGGAAAGATTTTAATGTGCAGCCCCAAATCGAACAATAAATCTATATCGCTTAAAAATACTTATTTTCTAATTTTTATCAAGAGTAATATTGTTTCAGAACTTGAAACCTTTAATATTAGCACGTTTGGCTTAGGCTGTCAAATGCATTATACATATAATAATACTCCAGTGATAATATATATATATATATATATATATATATATATATATATATAGCTAAATAAAATATCAGTTATCCATTATAATTACTTTTGTTATATGTAATTATATTTTGAGATATATGATTTGAGAGAATTTTTCTTAAACCATATTTGTTATGCAATTGTTATAATGACTAAGTAGCGAATTAATTTTATTCATGCATTTTAGCATTTTGGAGGTTTTTAATTATTCATTTTATATCCTCAATAGATTAGGAGAGAAGACTGAGACTGGATCAATATTTCCAAACATACATTTTCTTAAAACAGAAGATTTATTACATAAAGATTTATTACATAAAGGGCATTGTTTATTATGTTGCTTGTCTATGTAGCGGAGATGTGTTATAATTGTGTGATCCAGACGAATTCTAACAAATTTAGTTTGTTTTATTCTACTGGCCTTGAGTAATATTTCTGAAGAAATCAAATGTCGACATTGCATTTGGGTTGATATTGTAAACATTTTAAAAATTTGGTTCGTTTGAATTGCTTTTTAAGAATGTGCATAAATATATGATTCTTCCATTTTATCGAATGTTCCCATCTTCATATTCACACATACAGATGTAAATACGGAAACGTTTCGACACATAAATAATATATAAAAAAACATATATATTATTTTTGTAATATATTTTCTAAGTGTGTTTTTTTAATCAGTTCTTTTCTCCAAATTAATGAATTTATATAAATCGAATGTATGTAATGTTTTTCAAGACGCCAAAGTGTAGATGGAAAAAAAGATTTTATTTTAACAAAACTGAACTTTAAAGCTGCAAAAATACAGTCTATTAATTATTGATGTTGTTGTGTTACCAAAAGCTTATTTAGATTTAATCTTTTTTGGACGCCTCCTCATCCTCGAAAATGTTTTGGGAAATGGTGGGAAAGGATGAGATCGTTATACTCTCCAATTCGTTAGCAGTTTTTTCAATCAAAACACCAAATACAGGAATTCGGATATGCCTTATCCAAAGCAAATTTAATACAAGCCATAATTATTTTATGTAGCTACCATAGGGCTGATCGGGGCAATAATCATGGATATACATAATAAAGAAATCTGGAATGAGCTTCGTTTGGGGCCCCATTGTTTTCGGAAGTTTCCTCAAAATAGCTGCCAAGGGAGTGTTTGTTGCAAAAACCAATCTTAATACCAACAACTTTTCTGTTTAGTGCAATATCACAACCAAAACTGGTAATTAGAAGTTTAGAATACTGCCTCACCATAATCTAAAGTTTTAACAAAATGGGGGCACTATACCCAGCAGCTGTCATTTAACAAAGTTTTAGTTGGAAAACGTTTTTCTCGCTTTTCTTTTTATGGCAATTATTAATTCATTGATTTTTTGGGTTTTTCTTCAGTTTGAAACTTTCAAGCTGAACACGAATTAAGAAAGTCTACGAAAGCTTAACCCATCTGTTCATTTATAGGGCCACTAAAGTCACTTTAATGTACTAAAGAATCTACTTGTATTTACTCGCATGACCACACAACTAAATGCAAATTAGTCAGTTGCTAAAAAAAATGTTGTTCTAAATACAATTATAAACATTAGTTTAAGCTGGGAAATTTGACTTTAATACCTATTTGCATGAACAGACTAATAAATTTGGGTATCTCTTATATAGATTACGTTTCAACTCTGTGTTATTTATAGCCTGCGATATGCGCATTCAAAAAAAAAGGTTAGGCGAACATTCATTAAAAAGTTAGTCAAACAAATTAAAGAGGGAGCTTTCACAATTCAAAGAGCATTATATTCTCTTTCGAATTTGTTTAAAACTTTCCTAGCCATTCATCAGGCTTTAGATAAGCGCGGCATGTGGGGAATGCGTTCCCTAAATCGCTAGATATTATCATAGTAGGTGCTGCTTATCTGAAAGCGAACTATGGCCTCTGTTGTTGATACTGAGCGCCCCCTATCTGTTGCTTGCCTATAAATATGTCGCAATGTTGGCCAACAATATTAATCGAAGCGAACCCATTACCGCAAAGACATCAATATGAAATCATTACTCTGTTTGTTGTGCCTGGCATTGTCTCTGCAGCTGCAGGTGGAAGCCAAGAGTGTTGACATCGCTGCGATTGCATCGGGTCTGGCTCAGGCAGTGGCCAGCACAGCCGTCAATGTGACCGATGGAGTCGCCCAGGAAGCGGTAGGTCAACAACAACAACAACTACAATCAATTCATATCACACCTGAACTCAATAAGTTTAAACTATAGAATAAAGTGGCAGCTGAAGCAACAAGTGCTGAGCAGCAACAGTCCCAGAGCACGGTAAGTATTAACAAAAACTATACACTAGAGTAGCAAAAATAATGGCATTGGATGTGAAAGCAGGGCATCTCGAGCTCCGCCACTCAAACGCAAACGGTAAGTGTGCTCTGCATGGCATAGAAACTGTTCTTAAGTATAATTTAATTGGCACTACAGAAGACCGTGGCCAATAACATTGATAGCCAGGCCAGCAATATTGGTCAGTCAGTGGCTCAGGAAGCTGAGAAGATTGCCAATCAATTAAATTCCACCTCCACAGCTAGCGTGGTCTCCAAAGTTGCCCCAGTCGTCACTGCCGATGGTGCCACAATAATTGCCGAGGAGGGCGTAAGTCAATACTTTCATTCCATATCATTATAATTTCATATTTATTTTATATTTCTTGTTGCTCACCCAACAACCCAACTAGAATGAAGGCGCCAAAATCTTGGTAAGTTTCAATTCTTATTCCTTTTTTTTTGGAATACCAAACAATGTGTTTCTTCTTTTTTTTAAAATGTAGGGCGGCGCCGCCGCCATTTCGGCTCCATATGTGAAGCAAGTGGACCAGGCTCTGGGCACTGGAGCCGTAAGTGCGAATGCAGCTCAGCTCTAGAATATATATATTCTTTAATTTATTTTCGAATTGTTTTGCTTTCCAGAGCGCTCTCGGCAACTTGCTAGGCAGCCTCTAAGGAAACAACCTACGCTGAAGTTGCCGCAGCCGCAGCCTGCGAGCAAAATATATTAAACATGATTGCATCAGAATTCCGCTTATAACCATATTTTTTTTCCTTTTTTTTTGTCTAGGCACTCAAAAAAAATTAGTATGCAATAAAAGCAAAGCTAAACCACTAACGCAGCTTGTTGAATGAATTAACTTAGAGCTTAAGACAGTGTGGGATTCATATATTTAATAACGTGTTCAGAGAACCGTACTCGTCAGGGCTACCAAGTTCGTCGTACTATAGATAAGGGAAGCTATTGTAGATACATGTTTAAACAATTTATGTATTTTTTTTCTGACAACTGGCCACTTGTATGGACCCCGGAACCAAATTACTGAGCAGACAAAGCGCTCATAATAAGTTCTGTAAATTAATCGACATGTTAATTTAATTGAAATGCTTCTCCAAGTCGCCTGAAAGTGTCCTGCAGTTGTCAGTAAGACTGCTGCCACAATAAAGTCTCTTAGGCAGTTCTGCTTAAAAAATAAATAAAATAAATAATAAAAAAACACACTCATGAAAAGCTACAGCTTCGGCCCTTTCTCATGCCTTACTTTATAACACTAACAATATTTGAATGTATTTTCAATAAATTGCTCTATAATTGTTGAGGAAAGGCCAAATTTTTGCCAAAAATACAAATAAATATAGCAACCACAAATGTTTTCATATTATTTTAAAAAAAATATGAAGCACTATTATGGTTGTCTAGCAGTTAGTTACAGTTTCTTTCCAAATTTTTAAAAAAATAAACAAAAAACAGAATAAACATCAAAACATACGAGTATGCCTTTCGATTGCTTAGAATTTTTTAATTGATTTAACTTTTTTAACTAACTTTATGAACAAATTCTTTTCTCTCTTTTCAAAGACAAAAAATCTTTGTTTCTGATTATGAACATTTGGAATTCAATTATATTTTAATTAACACTTTAATTGTAAAACTTCATGAGCCACAGCACTATTTTTTTAGCATCAATTATGCTAACAAAGAGACAACTAAATCTATTTTTAAATAAGAAAATAGAGCAGCTTGCAGGTTACTTAGAGGGGCCTATCTTAATAAAGCTTAATAAAGCTATAGAAATTCTTAAAGCAATGCTCTTCAGCAGGATGTTTCAAATGAGCTTGGCTACCAGCACTTTTCTAATGTGTATTAATCATAAAAAATGCTTTAACGCACATGAATTCAATCGATTAATTGGCATTAAAGCCTGCTCTTCCACGGTCCCTGCACTCCAAGGTTCGTTATGGCTCGAACAGCTCGACTCATTTCTGTTGGCAGAGCATTAAGTGATCATTGTTTTTGTTGTAGTTTTATTTAGCAAACGCTTTAATCGCGCTCTGTCAATACTTTGTCTAATTTTCTTTAATTTTCTTTTCTCCTCGAAGGCAACAAGATTGATTACAATTTAGGGCATTGTCTATAATGATATCGTTTGTTCAAAGGGAATTATTGTGCTCATCTAAGCTTCATTTAATGAGAAATGCTGCGACGATTCTGCGAAAGACAGATTTTGTAAAATTTCAATGCCATTGAATTAACCAAATGGAAGTATCAAGTATCAAAAAGGTTTTTTTTTTTTGTTTATAAATTTTTGCACACATCGCAGCAGCTACCTAGGTGTCTGAAATTGTATTTAATGTTGCGCGAAAACAACTAGAGGGAAAGTCCATATGGTGGATAACATATATTCACACGTACACATACAAATCGACTGTTTGTTTCTATGGCAACTGGTTTTCCATTTATTTTTTTATTTTTTTTTGTTGTTGCCTTTTCTCCTCGCTACTATATTACGACGACGCAGCAGTTCATCGAAGGGTCGTGCATAGGCAATGATGGGCAAAGGGGGGAAAGGGGGGAGATGGAAGAGATGAAGCCGACTGAGCCCAAATGCAACTGCACAGAAATTGAGAAACTTAAACTGAATTATGCACAGCTGTGAGTTATTTAAGTGAAAAGACTGCTGCACAGCAGGGCGACCAGCAATGTGCCACGTTACGTATACGCAATGTGTTCGCTGGAATTGAATAACTACCGACTCTGTATGTGTGTGTGTGTGTATGGTCTGGCTTTGTTTAAGTGTATACAAGTTTATATACTATACAAGTATGTATATGTATGTGTGTGTGTGCACTCAATAGATAAAGCTGACTGGTAGTTGTTGTCGCTGCTGCTGCTGCTGTCGTCATTTGTAGACAGTAACAACAACTACAACAACAACAACACAATGGGAGCGACAAGAAGCATGGCATAGAGCCGACAAAGAAACTACATGACAAAACGCATTGGGTGAAAACGGGCAAAAACTTAGTGAAAAAAGTAAATAAATGAAATAAAATTAAATAAAAAGAGGCGGCTGTGAATGGAATGGTTGTGTGGTGCTTATTGAGGAGGGGGGGGGAGTGGCGAGACGGGGTAAGTTAACAGCGTGCAGCGTGGCAAAAAATGGCAACAACTTTTAAAACTCATTAAAATTAATGAAAGCCACGCACTTCACGTCGAGGCGTGGGCTAGAAACATGAGCTGGCAAAGAGGCAGTGGGTGTTGGCGTTGCATTTACAGTCAGCGACAACGATAACAACAACAACAACGTCGCTGGTGCCTGTAATTATACAAGTGAGCAAACATATTGCAACACTGTGGCAACACTCGGCCGTCCGCCCACCCCTCAGTCTCAGTCCCAGGCAGGCACCCGAACCAGCACTACTAGTACTGCTTTCCAATGAAATGGCATGAAAGTTCATTAAAACAAATTAAAAGCAAAGAGCAGCAACCAACTGCAAACGAAGCCGCGCAACGAATGGCAAACAACGTGCCAGCCTGCCTGAAACTATGCAATTCAGCTCAGAATGCCCCCCATTTTCCCATCTTGCAATCTGTTGCCTCCAAATGGAGTGGGGGAGGGGTGGCGGGGGGCGATGCTGATAACAGCAAACAAATAGCCTGCTCATAGGTCAGCCAATGGCGCGTAAAGTGCGCCAGCGGTGGCATGGTAGGAGGAGGGGGGGACTGAAGGCCAATGTGTCACGGGGTTACCTGGTGGGGCTTCGAGGCGTATGCGCAATATTTAAATTTTAATTAAACAACCCAACCATCTTGCAGTCTACCATCTAGGCACTATATATACGAGCCAGCCGACGCGTCAGCTAGTGCATAATTTATGGACTCGTCTCGTGCTTTCCCATTTTATTTCATCCAGTCCGACATTAGTGGCAACAATTCAGCGAGCTAGCCGTGATTGTTTTTTGAAATCTAGCTTCGGTTTCAAAAACAAAAATTGGTAATTACAATATGCCTGAGTGGATCAGAAGATGATGTTTCAGTTGTAATTAGTTGTGCTTCTCATCGAATGCCTAACATTTTATCTATTGTATGCAAACAACAGACATTAAGATATTCTAAATAACTCAATAATATACTCGTATTTCGTTGAGTTCTTCCCTATTTTTAAACAATCTGCTCTCGGAAAAGTTGAAATGTACAACATTTACGTGGATGCTCAAATTATTTTCCATTTACCATTTCGAAGACAGGTGACATAAGTTTAGAGCTGTTTTTTAAGATAACATTCAATAACTGACTTTATAATATGTAGTATAAGAATATACTTCCGAAAACCAACAATATTTTTCGGCGGATATTCTGTTTCCTTGCCTGACTGCAATTCAAAATTTGAATAAATTATTATATAAATTAAATTATGCACGGCTTTAATGCTTTGATTAAACAGAAAAAAAAAATATTTAATTCAATTCGTTGATTACCCAGGATTGGAAACGAATTTGTCGAAAACTACTATTGCTTGGAACATTAATGTAGGAATAAGGTATTATTTAATATTATGTAGCCCCGGTACGTTAATGTTCGTCCAGGCCTAACTTTAAGACGAATATTCGATTGCAAAAGAGTTATCAAAAAGAAGTTGAAGTTGTGAAGAGAGATGAAAATTTGTCGCATGGATTTTTGATAAGTTTAAACGCTGAAATAAACGATTAAGAATATAATATTTGTAACTTAAACCAAGTTTTTATTTCCCATTAAGGAAATCTAAGCTGAAATAATAGAGAGAACAACCCCATAACGCATTCAACCTACATTAATATTATTGTCTGGCCAGCTAAAAGGCGTATCTTTTTATGGCGAGCAGGGAAACAGTCTATTTCACTTTTGCAGGCATTGGCAGGCATTTTGGCAAAAAAGATGAACAAAACTGAAAACCCAAACGAACACAAGCAATACACTCATCTCTGTAAGAGCAGTCCACAGCAGCTGGGGCCTGCTCGAAGGCTGGTGAGAAAACACTGAATGGGAAAACAGTCCCACCTGCAAGATCGCTAAGAGCATATTCAAGGGGAGAGACAAGAAACTTAGAAAATTACTTCTGCAACTTTAAAGAAAGAAATGCAGACTCACAGCTCATTGCTTGCCAGAAATCTGGACATTAGAACAGACAACAGATGCAGGACATCAAAGGCACCCGAAGTGGTCGAAAAGCTGCAACAACTCCTTTGCCACTGTCCAGCACTCACAGCAAATAGGTCGCCAAATAGCTCTACTAATAGCTCTCCAAGCCACTAAGGATGTATCGAAGTGGAGCTGAAACCTTAACTTAAATCCGTTAAAAAGTCCATTGATTTAACAATTAAACGAACTTTATTTTAAGCTTGATTTTGATTCATTCAACTATGCCGATTATTTGGGATTTTTATACATTTAAGTATCCTCCAAAGAAAATGCTAAACCTTTAATTCATAGATTGTTCTTTTCACTGTCACCTGACAGCTCCTTAATAACATTGTTTCATCCGCACACCAAAGCTATAATTATTTTGTCACACAAATGCGTTAATAGCTAAGGGAGGTTTTATTTTTAGGTCCGCAAATCAATAAACTTGTGAATCTAAAGGGCACCAGAAATTTCTACCGACATTCATTTCCACTTTTTAGGCAAGGCAAGAAGT